AAACACTATTTAAAGATGAATACATTTTTGTAGTTTTTTTGTCGTTGTTCCTTACCTGTTTCTTACACCACCAGGGTATACCTATTTTCCATACTCCCTTAATTATAGATTACCTTACGATGTTATATTTAACATTTAACCCATTAAAAATCTAAATTCGAATTTAACTCTTTTTCAATTTCATTTGAAATTTATTATCAAGGAAATCTTCTAATAAAGTTAGGTATAGCAGATCCTACTCAAACCACTAATTGTTCTGCAGGATAAATTAACTTTTCTTGAGATTGATCTCTCTCTAAAATCCAAAACTTTTTTTGCCCTGGAAACGCCTAAAAATATGTTTTTTATATACCGCATTTTGATCAATTTCTTGTTATAGAATATGCTATTAAAAAAACTGAATTAATTTATCTAATTTATACGGCCTGGAGACATTGGGGTTACCTCGAAAAAGAATAATACATAAAATGAGGAAAACCTAACTAATTTACCTAACCTGTGAGACCAGGGACCATCGCAGATTGTTTCTTCAAAAAAATATACATTAATTAAGAAAAATTTAAAAAACGTAACTAATTTACCTAACCTGTAGGTTTTAGAGCCATCTCAGGTAATTTCGCAAAAAATAAACAGAAACCTAACTTATTTACCTAACCTATGCGGCGGGGAACCATCGCGGATTGTTTCGTAAAAAATTATACAAAAAATGCGAAAAATTAAAAAAAAAACTTAATTAATTTACCTAACCTATAGGGCCTGGAGACATCGGGACTACCTTGCAAAAAAAATTATAGATAAAATAGGCAAAAACCTAACTGTAACTAACCTGTGAGGTTAGGGACCATCGCGGATTGTTTCGTAAAAAAGTATACAAAAAATGCGAAAAATTAAAAAAAAACTTTAATTTAAAATATAATTTAATTTACCTAACCTATACGGCCTGGAAACATCGCAGTTACTCTTGTTTATGTGTCCATTGCATCTCCAACAAAAACCATCTACCGATTTTGCACATGGCGTCATTACAAAATAGCCACTACATTTATCCACTGAACATTTGTGTTTTATTCTTTTGCGGTATTACACTCTAGCGCTGCACTTGCAATCTATCACTATTATTTCGCCATATAAATTAGTACAATCCATTATCAGAAGAAACGCAGAAACTAAATATTAAAAAAATATATTTCAAATCTACTGTCACTTTACAGAATAGCATATCACTATAATAAATTTAACAATCGCAGTAAACTAGTACACAAACGTCACATCACCTGTATTAACCATTACCATTACAAGTGAAAAGTGAACATTTAAAAGCGATTAAATTTATTTAAATTAGTGACCGCCAAGAGTTTTTTTATTTTTAAGCTTCAAATGACATATACTTCCCCATAAACTAAAAATTTTAGTAATGCGCGGATTCACTCTAAACTGCATTTTTACCTTTTACCAAAATAAAATGCACACGTTCATAACAACATTCATAACATTGTCAGTTCTAATCTATACGTCACACGTCGACGTCAAAAAACCAGCAACATCAGCGACCTCTAGGGCTGGTGTTAGTTTTATTGGAGAGAGATAAATATATGTAAAGATCAATGTAAAAGAGAAAGAAAGTCATATATGTAATTTAAATGGACCACCGAACAAATTTTCCTATTAAGTTAGGCTAAAGACAAACACGGCTGTTTTCGCCGAGTCGACCGCCGACTCGGCCGCCGCCTCGGCGGATGCTGTAATGTAAATAAATGGAGTTGTTCACACTATACTGCGCTGCGAGAAAGCGACGCTACACCGCCGCGCGTACCGTCGTTCGACTCAAATGCATTACTTTTGTGAACCGCTTCGTGTGTTTTGGCAGAGGCGGCCAGCCGAGTCGGCGGCCGACTCGGCGGAAACAGCCGTGTGTGTCTTTAGCCATACACGTCTTTGTTGTCTCTGCTAAAGGTGTGTATAGACCTAACGGGCCGGACCTGGACCGGGCTCAGGCCAACAGCGGACCCAGGTTCGTCAGATTTGTACGGTGTCGTTTATCTACCGTGGGACGGATCATGGACGGATCCTAATAGGAGCGGCTAAATGCTGACCAGCGTGCACATATTATTTTTTGTGTTTTCCGCTAGATGGCGTGTATTTGAGCGCGGTTTTTTAAATTGATAATTTTGACTTGCACACCATACAGTGCGTCAAAAATTGTATTTTAAATTATATTTTATTGTTATTAATTCTGGGTTAGACGTGAGTTAATAAATAACCCATTAATTAGGAAGTTATTGGTAGGTATAAATAAAATAACCAATATAAAATGTATCAGTAGTTCACTCATTTATTTTAAAAAATAAAATCACTACAAATTTGTTAGTAATTTAAATAATAATATTGGGTTTTGATGGTATATTAAAACACTAAATCATTATAGTCAATTTATTAAAATATAGAAATATAATAGTTGTGACAATCATTGTCTCTAAAAAATTGAGTTTCATTCTTTTTTGTGTATAGAATTGTTTAATAAATATATATTGAGGGTAGGGTGAGTGTATGGTGAATAATAAAATGATTTCTATTTCTACATGTATGTCTCGAGTCTAGAATAAAAATAAGCCTAATTGGTCCTTTTGTGCAATGAATAATACTCTTGTAGCGGCAGGAGAAGGCATGGCCGATAAAGTACTTTATGAAGTATATACAAAAGTTCTACTTTTCAACTGTTTTCTGTCCGAATAACGACATTTTTTGACACATTCGAATAAGAAAAATTTAAAAATGTACAAACATATTATAAGACCTAAATAACCTATATAACACAATTTTAAAAATGTTACAAATGAGGTAAAAATTAAATACAAATTAAAGTTTCAAATAGTTATAGCATACATTAGAATAATAAAGTGGTACCATTACGGATCACCGAGTATCACTCATAAATTCTACATAGTGTTAATATGTCTTAGACGAAAGATATGCATAAAGTGTATATTTGAATGTATTAAAGATTCGTTGCTATCAATATGAATATATATTTATTGAAACATTCAATACCTCTATTGATGTCGGAACATAAAAAATAATAATAATTAGGCAAATAAAAAGTGATAGGTCATAATAATACCAATTCTACCTCTCTTGTCTTAAATAAAATACATTACAGATTAAGTTAAAAAAGTATTTAACTAGGAAAAGGAACCTTAATCTATATCAACTAATATTAAAAAAAAATCAAAAACCTTAAATTAGAAATTAAAAATAATTATGATCATTGTCACTACTTTTACTAATAACTAAAGAACTGCTAAGAGTACTTCTAATAATTTCGTTTTCATTTAAATTGGGTTTTTTTTTTTTGATAATTATTGCCCTTTTGCTTTTTTTTTGTTGAGGTGAAGACCAGCTGTTTTTTAATTTTTTTATTTGGTGGCTCATTAATTTCTGCAGAGGTTACACAAGGAACATCGACTCTGCTAATGCTGTTGTCATAGTTTAAGAGCAAATTTGCATTCTTCAAATATTGAGAAACTTGCCTGAGAACATTTTCATCAGAGGAATTTTCTAATTTGCCCTGCATATCATTGATTTAATTTTTTATTTTATTTTTTAATGTGCCTAAACTTGTTGCCTCTGCTGAAATATTTTGTCCCAAATACTCTAAATGTGTATTTACTTCAGCCTTGTCTTCATCACATTTATTTTGTTTATATTTACCATCAGCTTCTTCAGAATTGTTATCTGTCATATATAGCAAAATGAAAGGAATATGTTTGCGTATTGTATTTCGTCGTTATAATCTAAACAGGTGCAGGTAATAACTGATAATGCAGATAGGAAATGGCACTTCAACATTAACAACACAATTCAAATTCAAACTTATTTGTTCGACAATTGACAATATGGTCAGCAGTAGCTGCGCCCTCTGACGAAAAGTAAAATAAATAATCTGTGCACACCGGTCAGCATTTAGCCGCTCCTATCCTAATCGGCACGGCCCGTTGTAGGCCCGTTGCTTTCCATCGCGTAGTAGATATACGACAACTTACAAAGCTGACAAACCTGGGGCCGGTGTTGGCCCGTGTTATACGCTTTAAAAATGATACCGTTACGACTTTATATAAAATTAAATTAATTAATTATAATAAATCTTTTTTATTTCATGTTTATTTTATTTTACAAATTAGTAAAAGTAAAAGTAAATTATTTTAAAATTAGTTATTTTGTCTTAATAACCTAAAATAATGGTTTAAATATGTAGATTTTCGTTAGTGAGTCGTAGAAAAAATATACTGTACAATTTGAGTGGATTGTCCATATCGTACGAAGATAAAGTTTGAGCACGACGCCGTCGTGCACAAACTTCGTCTTCGTGCGATATGGCTATCACATCCACTCTTGTTGCACAAACTACTATTTTAGGTCATTTAATTTTACAGGAACAAAATGTATAGAAAATTACATTAATAAATCCTTAATTAATAATGTCGATAAATTGACGTCGAATTTGTGTCGTTAAAAAAGAGGAGACGTCATATTCATATAATTTTTTGTTAACATGATGTCGATTACCAAAAAATGTAGTCAGTCGTCTGCTGCCTGAGAGCTTTGGATTGGCATTAGTCGTTTTTCTCTTATATAAATTATACATTATGCTTAGCCTAAAATAATTTGTGTCATGTAATTATGTCGAGAATAGCAACATTAAATAAATAATATATTATAGTGTAGTAAACTTGCTCCATTTACCGAATGCCAACCAGCGGCTTGTATCTTGTATTGTTATACGACACTGGTTCTTATTGTTTGACCCTTGTAAAATTTTTACTATAACTACTATATATGCAATCAAATTACAGATTCGTATAAAGTGTGGCATATACTTCAGGCGAAACTAAAACTGCATATTTTATAGTTTATTTTAAACTTCTCTTGCAAATAAAAGTAAATAGAATAATATTATCGTTATTATTATTATTATTATTATTATTATTATAATAAATTACTGATTGAATAGAGTTGCACTTGAAAAATATCTATATTATTTCTAAAATATTTGATCGCCAGAAACTAACTACTTGCGACAATTGAACTACTGGCACTGTCAGAGTTTGCGTCCTGTGACCTGTGATGTAGACAACACCGAATACTGACATTGTGATGATACATTCTTGGCATAGCAAAACTTAAATTTAATATCAAAATAATGTTATTAACAACGTGCAACGTTAAACTTTAAAAGTTATGGGACTAACCAAAATTACAGTAGGAGTTTTATTATCGATGGTGTTGCTTGCCATCTTTTTCGCTCATATTGTTAATGTATTAAGCACTTCGCCACTTCCAAATGACGATATCCCAAAAGAAAACTTTATTAGCTTTACAGACTCCTCCGATAATTTATTATGGTTTTTGCAAGTAAGTTATAAATGGACTTAATATCGTTTTTTATTTTATTGATTTAAAATATACAGAAAATTGTAGTTCGAAATTGATCTATAAATAAAATTTAATATCAAGATCATTATCAATTTCTTCATTGATTACACAATGTTATTTATAAATTTTCAGTATTCTTTGACACTTAAATATTTAATATTCAGAATAATTGTAAAAATATTGTTTATAAATTAAAATTGCATTATTAATGATGCCTGTAGTGCAAGTGAAGTTTATTTTCATAAAAATGTAAATACTTAATTTTATGTAAATAATTTTTTTACTCTCTGGTGCTAGGTATATAATACCTCAAATAAATAAGAATTCTTTATTTTTCATAAAACTTGCCTACCTGTACCTAATCTTTTGCATATTAATCAGACAAAGAAGAAATAAATGGAGAAATAATATAATAATTAAATACTTAACCCTCTAAGGATGACATTTTTTTCACAAGCAGGTGTGCTGGCCAGAATAATGTTTCTACACTACACACATCTGTATGCCCATTGACACTTATAAGTGACTCCTATTTTAAAACAACACTACCATGATTTATGTGTGTTTGATTGCTCATTGTAAAGTATGTGGTCAGTTGCCATGTTTCATTGCCACCTTTATTAGTTTTTACATGTCTTTTCCTAGGTTCAAACTTTGTTTGCTTATTGCTTAGGCATGTTGATCACAAGCATCGTTCGGCCATAGGATGTGCTTAGAAAATGACATATTTTCATATGAATATATAGGGTGTCCTCTAATTATTTTTTACCTTTGTCGCATCTATTTTAAGTGACTTGTAAATGTTACCTATAGGTGACTTTCATACTTAAGGGGTTAAGTAGTACAATTTTAATTCTTAAGAAATTTAAAATAATCCCCCATACATTCTCTAAAATTTGCATGTGTCTCAATCTGTCACTGCCATAAATATTCAATATATAGTCATATATTTAGTATACCTACTCACTATATTACTAATGATGACATATGCAGGGCTCTTAACCCTTTCTCTGCAGGAACAAACTTTTTGTGAAAATAGAGTGCCATCATTGCAGTAAACGACTATATTCAAACTCCTTGTTAACCAGTTTGTTGTGGTAAATGATTATTTTATATGTCAAGTAAAAAATATCCTATTCCTGCAGCAAAGCCTCTATTCATTTTCAAAAAAAAGTTGGTTCCAACATTCAAAAGGGTTAACCTCAGGGGTAAACAAGTAGAAGTAAAGCTGTTATTTCACAGTTGTCTCAAAGATCCACATTTTTATTTATAATTTTTAAATATCTAATAAATTACAGCTCCTTCTTCTCCACATTTGTTAATTGGATCATATAAACATGCTTTTCTTTCAGATTTCAGATATTCATATTAGTTTATTTAGAGACCCAATGAGAATTACAGAATTTAGGGAATTTTGTCACTTAACAATAAATGCTATTAAACCAAGTGTTGTATTAGCTTCAGGAGACTTAACTGATGCTAAAACTAAGGATTCAATTGGATCTGAACAGTTGGAGGGAGAATGGAAGCACTATAGAGATATTTTAGATGAAAGCAATATTAAAAAGAGGACATTATGGCTTGATATAAGAGGAAATCATGGTAAACATTTTTTTATAAATTGACTAGCCTCCGATTCAATAATTTATAGTGAATATAAGCACAGATTTTTTTTAATTTTAGATAATTTTAATGTGGGTAGCCCTTTATCAAAACAGAATTACTTTACAAATTACTCTATTCAGGGTAAGGAACATCCCAGATCCTATAGATATCAAATTAAGAAGAGAAACAATGTTTACACTTTTATAGGAATTGATGCTTGTTTAGAGCCTGGTAAGTTTAATCTGAATTTGCAAAAATATATATTACTTAATATTTGTAAATTTTAACCGCATTTTTTTAATAGTTATTCATAATAAATTAAATGGAACAATATAGTCCATTGTAGGATATTTTATATAGGTATTTAAATTATCTATGTACTTTCTATATTTGGAATTTTTCTATTTACTCCTAAAATGTTAGCAAATATTTCATCAGAACTTAAATAATGATAAGCTTACTGTATAATTAAGTATTAGATATAAGTAATCCCCATGACTGTTTTCAATATTTATTAGTAACATGGGTCTTTAATAGTGATACCTACTTTTCCTTTTTGCTGATGATTTGAACATTTTCAATATGTTTGTTGTCTTTTTTATTTAAATTTATTAATAGTCTGTCCTAAATGTAGTCCTTAACGATTTCAGAACATGTTTATTAGATATCTCAAACAAATAATATACATAATTGGAAACTGACTGCCTAAAGTAAGAACCAATATAATGAGTAATTTATGGGATTTCCAAAAGTTATATCATGTTTTTTGGCATATAAGATAGGTGTATATAATACTAAACTTGATTGAAAGTTGATTGATTGAAACATTTATTAAAAATCTTTATTCAAATAGGTAATCCTAATGTACATACATAATAATTATAAACAAAGTATTTTTTATCAATATCAACATTAACATATAAATTATAAATTTTAAGATTTAAAACAAGTCAGCATAATGGGGCATGTTCAAAAATTTTGAATTTTTTTTTATGAATAATAGAGTTGAAAATAAAGCTACATTTTTTTTATCTCTTCATTTGCCAGAGTTATGAATTTTTTTAAATTTATGACGTCACCGGGAATAGACCAATAGGAGCTAGCGCCACAACGTTGCCGGCTAGATGATTTACGAGAAGTGATGTACGTTCGTTCGTGTACTCCTTCTTACTTTTAGACTTCTAAAACAACGTTAAACAAATATCTTTTAAATATATAATATCAAATGTTTTTTGAAAGTATTATTTCCTGTTTAAAGTTTTACAATATTTAAAGTTTCATTGTTTTAAAAGTCACTTAATAATTCAGAAAATGGCAAAATGGCAGCACTGTGTATGGCATCTGTCATCATAGTGCCTCAATCAAGAATTTATTTGGAATTTGAGTGTTTAATCATACTGGGTTTTAATTTTGTACTTTTTATAAATATTATCACTACGAAAAAGTGTTTTGTTCCAGAATGTGATAATGATTCACATTCATCTTCAAAAATATTTATTAGTGTTCCTAGAAATTTGGAAAGAAGAAAATCAACCTTCTACTAGCGATGTTTCTCGTCAACTTTTTAATAAAAATACACCGGATCATCAAGATGTAGTCGCAATTTCTGCTAATTGTCCCCTTCAGGAAATTGAAAATGAGGCTACTATAAATTCTTAGGTCTATAACCTAAAAACCCTTCTGGAAGAAAATGCAGAATCTCCTGAAAGTTTTGAAAATACCGAATTTATTCATCATTTTGTGGAAGAACTAGAGATAAAGAAATAATAGAAAAATGTGGGTATTTAAACAAACTGGTTCCTGGATCCCATATAATGGCAGATACCAGTTTCAGAATTTTCAGCTACTTGAAAACATGGGATGCACTTTAGTAAAGCCACACCTAGTGTATCACAGAATGAAAAAAGTTCTCCAGAAGATGTACAATTAAGTAAAAGAATAGCATCTCTAACAATACATGTGGAAAGAGTTATAAGAAGGGTTAGTTAATTTAACATGTTAAAACCACATTCTTGTGTGAATTTTAAGCAAGTACATTTACTTAGTAATATCTGCATAATTGCTTGTGGTATTGTTAACTTACAAGAACCTATTTTGTAAGAGTAAATAAGTAAATATTAATTTAATAAACTTTTTTTATTTGTTTTTTAATTTAATTTACCTAATTATCACATTTCAGGGATTATGAGTTTTTAAACAGCCAATGTAGTTTTTTATAAAATTTTAACTTTTCGAGCAAATCAAAGAGGAATGAGTACCTGTATATGCATAGATTTTTTTGGGACTAAAACTACCAAACCAAAGGCACCTATTTACAGCAGTTTAAAATGAAACATTTTAACAAAAACGCCTATGTCACATTGATAAATATTAAAAACAACCAAGTTCAGTTGAATGTGGTAGCAAAGTCTATATATTCCAATAAATCGGGTAACTACATGTGGTGTGGTATCACTGGTGATAAATTTAAAAATATCACAATTCTTGCCACCTTTTTCAAAAAACCAGAAAGTGTGTCTTCTTATCAATCCTTTACGAAAATGACAACAGTGATAAATGTGAAAAAAAAATTTAATGTTGCTATTCATTATTACGATTGTAAAACATGTTTGCAGTTCCGTTTATTTTTTATGAAAATCTAAGTAAAAACAACCAATGTCAAAGGGTTATAATTTTTTTCTGTCAAACCAAATATATCACAAAATTAAAAATTGATCATAGGTCAAGACTGAGATTCCTTACACTTGGAGAAGAAAAACCAAGGGCAACTAGCTATACCGGAGAACTACTTCCCAGTCTATGGAGTCTACTACAAAAGACCGAATTAGACAAGATACTCTAAACAATGATTAAAGGATATCCACAATAGATCTGAAAAGGTCGAGGTGGGGGAGGCCACATGGCCCATAGTCCTAATTAAATCTTAATCTTAATAGGTCAAGCTAAAGTAATACCTTTATTGATAGTAGCTTTAAAAAAGGAGAAAGAATAATATTGACTTAAGTTATTATTATTAACATTGGTGATTTTTAATAAAAACTCTTTAATTATTGTTTACAAACAAAAATATAAAAATCTGAAAATTTTATTTATTAACCTTTTAATAAAAAATGAAGTAAAAAACAATTTATTTACAAATAAAAAATATATATACAAATCCTAAGAATATAAAAGTACTGATTTATTTTCCTGTAGTGGATGAAGAGGTTTCTTTAACAATCTAGCCAAGTGTACATCAATATTTACGCATTTTGATAAATTAGAGCCTTTCCAATAACACTGAGTAGATGTTACAGATGGTTCCTCACTTCTTCTATGAAGCCACATATTTACAACCACCTGAAAAAAATAAAAGGGTTAGATATGCAGTTACAAAATAACTAATAACCAGCTACAAAATGCCTTATTTTATGTAACAAGACGAGCAGAGCTTTACTAGCTCTGAACGAATCCAGTATAGAACCTCGGATTTTCAAAACTTAAAAAAAAAATCTCACCACATTTTCACATTTTTGAAATATAGTGCTTTTCGAAAAAAACTGCTATTTTTAAAAGTACAATTTTTTATGTCTCATTTTAGGGTATTGAGTATTAGAAAATAAAAAATTACTGGATGCTTTGTTAGCTTCAAACGAATCCAGCAGAGCACCCCAGTTTTTTTTTTAAAGCACCACGTTTTTTGGCTCCTACAATATTATAAAATATTCGAAATTTGGCATTTTTAAAAAAATTCGCAATTCCTTGCTGACTTCAAAGTTTTTTTTCTGAAAACAAATATACTTACCACATTTTTAGGATTTTAAAACAGCCTAAACATGTGTCATAAGTAGTTGTTTTTATATATATAAAAAAACAAATTAAAAACTGAAGTGTCCTTCTGACTTCGTTCCAACAAAGCACCCTGTATTATTTAAAAATAGCAATTTTTTTAGTAAAGTTTTACAATATTTCAAAACTCTAAAAATGGGGTGTGGTTTTTAGAAAAAAGCTTTAAAAAACCGAATTGCTCTACTGGCTTCTTTCGAAGTTTAGCAAGCACCAAGTATTTTTTAAAAATATCATTTTTTTTTAATGATATTTCAAGTGCATAAAAATAAGGTGTTTCTGTTTTTAAAGAAAAAAAAAAAAAAACTTTATAAAACAGAGGTGCTCTGCTGACTTCGTTTGAAGCTATCAGAGCATTTTGAGTTTTGCAGAAAACGAGGAGCATAACATTTTTGAAAAGGGTATAAAAATAGCCTAAAAATATGGCATATGTTTTAACTCAAAATTTCATAGGTGCTCTGCAGCATTCTTTGGCATCATAATTATTACTAGGTTCACAAACAAAATCTATTCGCTAGATTATTTTAACACTTGCTGCGATTACAAAAAATGTCTCTTTATATGTCAAAATTAGAAAAAAATATTTATAGGAATAAAGGGCCTTATACACTGTTTATTAAAACAAAAAAGCATAATAAATATTACAAACCTTGAGATGCAGCATATCCTAAGCATTGTGCACTAAAAATTTCATTTTTGTTAATTACAACATCATAAGGTTTTTGCCCTACTTTATTTTTAGGTGTAATTTGTCCTTTTACTGTGCAAATATCTCCTTCTCTCTTAAGTTGTACATGGAAAAAGTAATTATCTCCATATTTTTCCTTGGCAAATCTAAAAATAAAACATTTAATAAAGTGATTAATTTTTTAGTATTTTCAAGGGCCCTACTCTAAATATTTGGCCTAATTATTAGATATTTTTACTAATTTTTATTATTTTTCTTTGTTCCAAATTATTTCATAAAACATAAACATAATAAAAGAGTTTATGTACCATTACAAAAAGTAGCTATGCATATACAAAAATGTACTTAAATTACAATATTATTTACAATGATGTGTAGCAAGTAGGTAATTTTCAACCAAATAAAAACCGTATTGCAGTAAATACTTGCACCCTACCCTTCTAAATACATTTTTAGATATTATTAGTTTTAATTTTTGAGGTAAACAAGATATATTATGTTTTATTTTAAGGTGTATTGCTCCATATAAACTGTAACTATCTACTATTAAAACAAATTATAAATAAAGTCTTACCTTTCTGTCTTTTGTAAACTGAGTATTGTTAAAAAATGCAGTAATCATCTCGCTAATCATATTTTGGTTTACAATGGATAAAATACTTGATTCAACTTTTATAAATCCAGCTGTAAAAACTAATTTTAGGTTAGGTGATGTCAA